ATTGTACGCATCCATCATTGTTGCACTGTCCAGGTTCGGATTGAGGGATGCTAACAATGCCTCAATGTTGATGTCGCCATCATCGTTCGACACATTTTGTCCGTCGGCGATAAAATTGTTAAGCATGGTTTGCGAGCCCATGCTAACAATTTCCACGGATACATCATTCGCCGAAGTACTAGGCATCGAAGCGCGAACGGTTTCAAGTGGTGGCACAACCTGAACATTTTGTAGTATACGTACAACTTGGGGCTTCAACAGTTTTTCTAGAATTGGGCGCTGACTATCGGAGAATGTGCAGTACTTGCACTGCTTTCCAGGCGCACACAGACACTCTCTTGAGCACATTTTGGCAACCTAACACAGAAAACAATTTTATAATGTACTATTTTACTGATGCGTCCAATATGGAGCGTTTAGACTGCAGTGACGGTGTGCACCATTGACACTGATATAAATACATGTCCCTCCTACCCACCTTTCACGACTTTCTACCTTCGCGATATCTACCATCTGCCTTTTAATTAACAGTCAAAATTTATTACCCCATAATCGTTTATGCTCGAGGTTGACATTCCAGAAGCAGTTCGGATTGACAATCTCGTATGGGATCTCGATGATCCATCCACAGATTCAGGGTATACCAGTCCTTAATCATGGATGGATCGTTATGCATTTTAGTTTTAAGGAATTATGTCTAAGATTTTATTTGTAAGGTTGTAGGCTTTAAGGTTTCTGTGAAACATATAAATAAAAAATAAAAACACTAGAACCATTAACTATCTATTCGTTAGCCGTAAGACCATAAACCCAAACCCAATAAAAGAGTTTACAACATCTATGCATTCTTATTATTATTACATTAATTTCATGTTCATAAACTTATTTTAAAAATTTTAAAATTTTCTTTAACGCGTCATTTACACCCACATCATTGTCTCTAATGACTTTATGCTTTTGTTGTATTATTGTTTATGTCTTCCAATTACTGATACCCTCGATTTCTATAAGTATTTTACAGAAATGGCTTAGTTAATGTTAGGGGTATAATACCCCTATATCTTTTTCCCTGGTGATATTACAAGAATTTGTTATTAGCATTTCCATCTCTATATTACCACTCCATTCCATTTCACTACATACTTTTATGAAATTATACCATCTAGGTTAGGGGTAATTCACCCTTATATCTGTTTTCCTGGTGATACTACAACGTTTTGTTATTAGCATTTATGTCTCTTTATAATCCCTGTAATCCATTTCACTACATACTGTTATGAAATTTTATCTTTCATGTTAGGGGTACTTCACCCCCTATATCTTCGTTACTACCCTCCCTACACAAAAACTTCATAAGAACAAATAGGTTCCTTGTACTAGCTGTCTTCATTCCCATACTTTTTTTGTTATTATTTAAAAAAAAAAATTGTCAAAACTGATTCAAACTGTGCTTCTCTTCTCTTCTCTAATTATGTTTTTATATCTCTTCACGATACCAGTACTATATCCGTATACTTCCTTCTACTATCGGGGGCTGCTACCCCTTTACAAAAATCTTTAATATCTCCGTTGTTTGATTACCGATCAATTTCAAGCTTTTACCAAACTGTGCTTTGATTTTTTTTACAATTTTTTTTCACCCCTTTCTAGGGGTTGTCACCCCCAATTGCTTTAATTTACTTTTATCACTATATTTTTTATTTTTTCACTGATTTTTGAAATTTTTCAAACTACCTGTCTTGTATTTGCATGCCTACACTCAGTATCTTCACTTACCTTATCACACCGCCTGTTTTTCCCTATGACTTCGACACCTTCCTTCTTCGGCAACTATATAGCTGCTTCGCTCCCAACGGACTGTTGTCACACTGACGTATACTGCTCGATGCTATTCTTCTTTCACAATACAAGCACTTTGCTAGGTGCTTACTATGTATGTGCATCTTATTAACATATCCATCATCGTAGATACTAAATAGGGCATACTTTGCTCCTATGATTCACCTTTCACATACTATGGAGCCCATCATGCTCGTACCAATGTAGTAATACTGCTGACAACGTTCTTCGCTCCATTCTACACCCCTCGCATAGCTTTCTTGACACACGCTCCATTCTACATATGCATTTCTCACACTTCCTTCATAACTCAATCCGTATGGATAGCGCACTCTATATCCATCTTGCAGTTCACTCCATTTAATTAGAAATCCATTCCCTCCTGACATCACCCCACTGGCTAGTCCTCCTCGTACTCCTACGTTTTCCAAATCTTATGGGGAGTCTAACAAAGACCACACACACTTCTCGTCCTTCTCATTCGTATCGTAAATCCAGCCTATCTTATGGGGACGATGTTGCATACACGTCCCACAATAAACCAGAAATATGCTGCAACAGCACCACCCACACGCCCAGCGCCACCCCTTAGAGTACTTCAACCGTTTCTCCGTTTGACACACTAAGCACCGACTTTTCTTCACTATATTTACCATGCTATTGCAATGCTTGCAACAACTGAACTGCCTCCTCTCCGAGCGCTGCACTAATTTAAACACATATTTCCAAGGTCATACCTTCTACCACTCACGACTTCAAGGTCATATTTCAAGGTTATATTTCAAGGCCATATTTCGATTCAAGGTCACATTTCAAGGCTATATTTCAAGGTTGCATTTCAAGGTCATATTTCAAGGCCATGTTTCAAGGTTACATTTCAAGGTCACATTTCGAGGTTAAATATGCGTTCAAGGTTGGCTCCCAAGGTCGACTGTCAAGGGCGTTCTAGAACATACAAACCCTACCTACTTAAATGTAACAAGGGTTAGGAATGATAACTGTGGAAACGATTTATTATTCTGAATATATATTTTAATGCGCCCCAGGATACCACACTCATCCATAAAATATATTTTGATAATTGTTAAAATGAATGCCAATGCTCAGTTCATAGAAACTTGGTCACCCTGTTTAAAGCTAACCGTGGCTAAAACCGGTCCCACACGATGTGGCGGTGTGGCACATCGTGTGAGAGAGCGCTGACGGATTACGTCTCCAACGTTCGTCACATGGCACGTTCGGGCTCTTGTCGGTAAATTTGACACGCGGCAAAGGATGTTACAACGAGATGTCATGTGTTTGATGGTTTTAGGTTAGAACCAGTAGCGGCGAAAAACATTATTTTCTTATTACTTGTTTGCTGTGATTGTGGCGAAGTAGTGGTATGTGGGAAGTATTTTGATTTGAATACCTACCTGTTCATAATAATGTATGTTCCGTAACTTACTTTTGAGGAGAATGAATTAAATTAGCATACATACTAAGCATAGGCTGCCATAACAACACTTTTTTCATATTGCTAATATTTTGTAGGATTCGCCGGTGAGTTATGGCTGGCCTAAGGGCTCTTACACACGAACGTGCAATCCGCCGACCGGCTGTTCCACCGACCGGCAAGAAAATCGGAAGATGGTATTTTACCCACATTCGAATACAACTTAACACACTTGCCGGTACCGGCTATTCTGCCGACCGGCCGCCGTTCATATTAAAATTTGGACGGCGAACACACGGCTGCCGGTCGGTAAATTAACCGGCGCGTTCATTTCAATGCATGCAAGTCTATGCCTGTTGACACACGAACGGGGATTCTACTGTCGCCGTGGTACAGAGTCGTAGTTTCATTTCCGTTTAGACAGTGTAGTCATGAGGAATAAAACTAAAGCCGCTTGGCAAGAAATCATGGATACATTTATTTATGAAAACCTGAACGAAGCAGAAAAAGCCGAAATAGGTATGTAACTATGTAAGATAAGAAACAATATTAACTGTATTTTACTTAATTGCCACGGTACAGATCCATTACTATTGAAATATTTTGTGAAATGGTCCCGTATATCCTTCCCGCTTCTTGATCCTCGCAAATTTCGCTCTCTTGGTATGTCTTCGAGGTTTATGATTTCTAAGACATCGCCGATATTAAAGCCATCTCTCATTCGTACTAAATTATGCAAGATACAACATGCTTTAACAATGTCAATGACGAATTCGGGATGTACGTTTATAGGTCGATGAAAGATTCTCCATTTGTTGCTAAAAATACCGAATCCACATTCAACATAACGCCTGGCACGTGATAAACGGTAATTTAATACACGTTGTTGCTGTGTTAAGTTGTTTCCACCAAATGGGCGTAGCAATTTATCACTTAATCCAAAAGCCTCATCGCCAACTAAAATATATGGTACAGCCGGATTTTCTGTTCCTGGTAAGCATTTTGGGCAAGGTGTATACAAAGAATCTGAATTCAATGCATGAAAAAATGTTGACTCTTCAAATACGCAGGAATCACATTCTTTACCGTATGCTCCAATGTCAACATATCGAAAACAGTATGATGTGTCCACAACAGCCAATAACACGATTGAAAAAAAAAATGTTTGTAGTTGTAAAATAATGAGCCACTTCGTTGTGGCTTCACAATTCGAATGTGTTTCCCATCTATCGCTCAGAAACAATTTGGAAAATTGGCATTATTAGCAAATCCTGCTTCACATTCATTCCACATCTTGTCTGATGGCGGTGGGATGCATTCATCAAGTAGGATTTCCCAAATTTTCCTGCATACATCCCTAACAATTTTACGTATTGTTGATGGTCCCAATCTGTATGCGTAGTGAAGGTCTGTGAAAGTCATACCGCTTACCAAATACCTGCAACAAAATTAATTATTTCTTTTTTTTTCAGCTAAAACACTATTGCAAAAATGGAACAACATTTTTGACAGTTTTGTGAAGAGTTATAAAAATAACTCTTAAGTCAGGCTCTGGTTTTAGGAGAATAAGAAAGTACATCTTCCACGATCAGTTGCAATTCCTTGCAATAACAATCGAACACAATACTACAAAATCCAGTATTTCACAAGAAAAAATACAGAAACGATGGCGCAACAGAATGTAGATGATAGTAGCAATGAAGGCGATTCTCAAATTGATTAGGATATGATCAATATATCCAATCCAAATACATCAACCGCTAAACAAACGCCATCGCAAGCTTTACTTACAAAAAAGCGTGCCTCAGCACCAAAGAAACGTCAAGACGAGTTTGAAACCAAAGCGCTAAAGATCTTGGAAAAGCCGGACAGCATACCCACAATCAGTGAAGATAAATCGTTTTTTGATTCCATTTTGCCGATTGTAGAAAACTTTGATGAAGATGACAAACTTCAATTTCGCATAGAAGTTTTGCAGCTTGTACAACGTTTTAAACGAAAGCAAAAATGTGATGCTTTAACATGACTTCTGATACCAATAGATCGCTACCTTCGTTTGTACCACCAGCAACTCAGTCATACAGCCAGCAGTGGACACCGACATACCATACATTGCAGTGTCCACAGACAATAAATACCACAATCAAGTACGTCATTTGATCCAACTACATCTCGCTGTGACAATAATCTTGAATATCCACAATCTTTGACACCACAATAGTTTATCCAATCTGACTTAACTACAACCAGAATTTGATTTGTTTAATTTGTTCGTTATGTTCCTTATTTAAATATATCTAGTTCTAAAATCACATTTTAATTCTATTACTTACCTTATTGTAACTGCAAGCATCTCTGTGGGTGGTATCGCTTGTCTCATGTTTGTTTCTTGGAGGGCTATATGTTTGTCCAAACGCTGTAGTAAATAATCAAATGTTGCAACACATATCCTAAAGTAATTGAAAAATTTTGCTTCATGTTCTCGTAGTCTTGTAAACAAGGTATAAATGCTCCTACTGCACTTCATTCAGCTACCAGTGGATGAATCCATAATCTTCTTGCTAAAGCTTTCTTGTATTTTCTTCGTCTATACAATAAACACACAAGCACGATCTTCTTTTCACGTTTCGTTTTTGACAATGCACGAAACGAAAATAGCCAAGCTCTTTCTACGTCAGATGACAGTACAGCACTGGCCTTCATTCAGAAGGCAATGTAAACGGCACGTAACCGGCCGATCGCTTATCGTGTGTAAGATAATCCCGATTTCTTTGCGGCGGAGAAACAACGGGTCGGCGGAATGATCGGTCGTGTGCAAGAGGCCTAAGGATATGTATTTTAGTAAACTATAAATTACCAAGTGCTTACAGTTGTTTCATTATAATGTCCTGTTGCGATGCAAGAGTAAATGAGAAATATATTGTCTTGCATTTCATAACTAACGAAAAAGATTAAATAAACGATAACTCTGAAAGTACTATAAAGATTTTGATGAAATTTTGACCTTAGGTTACTACTATGAAAATGACGAAAAAGCTCTGCAGCTTTTGAAAATAGGTACAGTGGCGGTGGAGTTATCGTCGAAAAACTAACAAAAAACGGTCTAACTTGGTTTTTCGACATTTCTGATAGACTTAAATTTGGGTCGCTGAAGACAGGTTTGAAATTATTTTTCGGCGCTCGAAAAAAATGCTTCATCTTTCATTTTGTATAGTTTGTCCTTCAGTTGTAAAGGTTCAAGCGCGACACAGACACCTATAATAGACGTTGGCGCCACCGTACGGCGAACGTCCGAGACTAAAAAGTTCATCCCATCGTATAGGAGACACACTTGCCAATTGTGCGGTGTCGAACGTTGTACACAACGTTGTATACAACACTGGAAGCATCGTGTGGGACCGGCATTACAAGAAGAGAAAGAAGAGGAGCTATTCTCGCCCTCTTCTGACAAATAACTTCAGCGATACAGTTACACTGAAGAGTACAGCCGCATGATTATCGATTTCTTTATGTTTTGAAGCTGTGCTATGACGTAACGACCATAGATGGCGCCACCATGAAATTACAATTTAAATTCAAATCTTAAATAAGAAATTGATCTTGTTGAAGTTTAGCACATTTAGTTTTGGATATATATTTTTTTAAATCTGATATAATTCTACAGCTTTCAAATGAAGCGAGTTCGTTACAGCACATCGCTATTCCTTAACTGTAAATTAATAATTTTTGGCATATATGTTTAGTGTCCCGTACTAGTAAAATGATTACATTTTCAGCTTGATTCGTCAACTGACTGCAGAAGCTCTGATCTCCCACCGTTGGATATGGTGATCCGCGGTGAAGCGAGAGTAGTCGCTCATCGACTGTGGAGTCAGGGCAGCTGGGCTTTCTTGAATCCTGTCAAGGGGCATAATGCCATCTTAGTCGAATTAGCCCTTGCTAAGTTGTGTATCTACTACTCTCGTAATAAAAGTGAAAAGGTACAGGGTAGTACTTCGAACGCTTGTAAGGTGGAATTGTTTTTACGCTTATCGTTATATTTCTATTATCATCTCTTGATATCATCTCTTACAAGTGTATCTTATCCTCAATCAGTAGCGTAAAAGCTTACCGTTCATTAAACCATTTCTGTGCACGCCACTGGTTTTGTTGGCATATTTACTTTTCTTTATAGATAAAGAAACTTTAAAACAAAGGAAATGTTCATTTCAAAAATAAACAAAATTAAGCTAATAAGAATTAAACATGACAACAATAAACATTACATTTGATACAACTTATTTCTAAATTATGAGGACATAACATTGGGTACAAAAAATAGTGCTGAATAAATGCTATAACATCCAACCTAAAAGAGGTTCTGAATGTGACCATCTCTTTGTGTCCGAGGTTGCTAACGATTTGTGATATCTTCTTTGTTGAGCTCGCTTAATCTGAAATGCTAAAGAATTTTGACCAAAAAAGGCCGATAATTTTAGAATCAAAATAAAAAATATTACTCAAATTGATTGATTCTACAATTGCTAGTTGTAATTTTAGAAAATCAGAAGAATCTAACATAGGTTGAAGTCGAATTGTCGTCGGGTTGGTTTTATAGAGAATAGCTCTTTAGACAGTACATGTACAAATTCCTCCAGAGTAGAAATAAAGGGTGTTTTTTTTAGAGGTATAGAAATTTAAATTGCAATAAAACAACGATGGATTATTCGATTGACATGCATTTTTTTATTCGAAAGATAATCTTTTGGAATTACATTTTAGACATGATTTCTGGCATATGACTGCCACGGCTGGCTCGGATGTAGTATCTGGACGTCCAATTTTCGATGACTTTTTCCAACATTTGTGGCCGTATATCGGCAATAACATGGCGAATGTTGTCTTCCAAATGGTCAAGCGTTTGTGGCTTATCCGCAGAGACCAATGACTTTACATAGCCCCACAGAAAATAGTCTAGCGGTGTTAAATCACAAGATCTTGGAGGCCAATTCACAGGCCCAAAACGTGAAATTAGGCGGTCACCAAACGTGTCTTTCAATAAATCGATTGTAGCACGAGCTGTGTAACATGTTGCGTCGTCTTGTTGGAACCACAGCTCCTGGACATCATGATTGTTCAATTCAGGAATGAAAAAGTTAGTAATCATGGCTCTATACCTATCATCATTGACTGTAACGTGTTGGCCATTATCGTTTTTGAAGAAGTACGGACCAATGATTCAAACAGTCAGTTTTTTGGATGTAACGGTGTTTCGACATAGACTTGAGGATTAGCTTCACTCCAAATGCAGCAGTTTTGTTTGTTGACGTAGCCATTCAACCAGAAGTGCACTTCATCGCTAAACAAAGTTCGCTTATGAAAATCGGGAACAACGGCAATCTCGTTTTGGGCCCATTCAACGAATCTACGCCTTGCTTGATGATCGTTTGGCTTCAATTCTTGCACGAGTTGGATTTTGTAAGCAAGAACCAAGATCCTTCCGCAAAATCTTCCATAAAGTGGATGGACACAGATCCAATTCCTGTGCTCGATGGCAGATGGACTCATTCGGGACTTCCTCAATGCTACGTTCTACAGTAGCAATAGCTTCTTCTGTACGCACCGTACGGCGTCACTGGGGATGCGAGATATCAATTAGAGTAAACATGGTGCAAAAACGTTCCATGGTTAAGCGAATTAACTGCTCTGATGGACGATTTTGTCGACGATAAAATGGACGTAGTGCGCGATTCGTATTCCGCACAGAACCATTATTTTCGAAATAAAACTGCACAATTTGCAAGCGTTGTTCAGGTGTGACTCTATTCATGATGAATTACCAAACCAAACTGAGAATAAATCACTTGACAGCTGTCAAATCGGTCGCCATCTTCAAAAGTAATGCCAACTTAAAGTTCTATACCTCGAAAAAAAAACACCCGTTATAAGACAGTAGGTACATGAGCTTTGAGAGTACCGATTTGGGATAGTGTTAAATCGTTTCGTAGCTCCAAATAGACAGTCTAGCTTGACCCAATGGCCATTGACCATATTGTTTCACCCTCTGAGTCCATTTTTTATTACTATGCTCAATATTATCATAATATGCGCCTTAATTGTTTGTCTTGAAGCACATGTACAATCCATGTGACTAGCTTTACTTACTGATTTTTTATTACAGGAAATTACACAGTACATTCCAAATAAAATAAATTAAAATACACGCATACATAATAATAATAATAATAGTAATAATAATAATAATAATAGTAATAGTAATAGTAATAGTAATAGTAATAGTAAAGTAATAGTAATAGTAATAGTAATAGTAATAGTAATAGTAATAGTAATAGTAATAGTATAGTAATAGTAATAGTAATATAGTAATAGTTAGTTAGTCATAGTATAGTAAATATCATATAATAGTCGTCGTCACTAGTATAGTCATCGGTAATTCCTCTCAAGTACTCGTCATCGTCCTAGTCATCGTCCTCGTCTCGTCAATAGTCCTCGTCCTAGTACTAGTCCCTCGTCTCGTCTATCCTCGTCCTGTCCTCGTCCTCGTCCTCGTCTCGTACTAGTCCTCGTCCGGTCATAGTCCTCGTCCTCGTCATCGTCTAGTCCTCGGCCTCGTCCTCGTCCTAGTCCGCTCCTCGTCCCGTCCTCGTCCTGTCCTCGTTTTTTTTTTTCGGCCCGTCGCCAGGCCGCCCCTGGAGCGAGTGGATCTATTAACCGGC